TTGCAATTGCAACACACTGCTGGCTCATATTTAAGTGATTGTCCACTAAGACTCCAAGTTCCCTCTTACAGTTACTAATATTGAACCAGGTATCATCTCTTCTGTACCTGTGCATTTGGTTGTTCTTTCCTAAATGTAGAATTGTTTTTTACTTTTTTGCTATTTAATTTAATTTTCTTAGATTGGACTCAATGTTCAAAAGATCCTTCTGGATCTTAAGCCTATCTTCTGGAGTGATTGTTATTCCTGCCATTATGGTGTTCTCTGCAAATTTGATGAGTGTCCCTTCCATCCTCTTGTCTAAATTGTTTATGAAGGGTCAGGTGGCATGTGATGATGATTGAGAATCTGAATTACAAATCAGAACATTAAGCGATCAATTGGATTTATAGAGGATGTGATTTGGACAATAAATAGACACTTGCTGTATTATTTCCATTGCTTTGAAAATGAAAACTCTCAGTTCAAACAAAGAAGTCATTATTTTGATCAGGTAAATAGCATGAAATGAGGTAACATTCCAAAGAATATTAAAAGCTCAATCCTTTGCAAGTAATCCAACTGTATTCAAAGAGGCTTGTGCCCACGAATTGACAGGTCTCAAACCAAGAATGACACATGATGGTTATTCCAAGCTGAATTCTTTCTTGTTTCATTCCTATAGTCAAAGTCTTGCCAGACTAAGGATTCTACTATCTGCATATACAATACACTCTGTAAACTATTAGGGAGGAGATGTCTTCACCCTCTTTCTCTCACACATGACATCCAGGCAGAGTTGCCTCTTACCCCTCTGGATTTCACCCCCTCCCTTCTGGGAATCCATTTCTTCACTGCATTCCAGCACAGGAATGTATCCATGATAGAGCTAAAGTGGAAAAATGTGGACACAGAGGAAGAAATCTGGATTCAGATTCCCCTACAGCCATTGATTTACCGCATGGTCTTCTGCAAGTTGCATTGTAGTGGCTTCAGCTTTGTGTCCATAAAATGGAATAAGCAAGTTTAGTGTAACACTGTACGTGATAGTGAAAGCTTCATAATGAGGAATAAGTAAGTCAATATTAACTAAATTATTTGGAATTCCTCTGAAATCACTTAAGCCATTCTTTATCCTGCTGGCATGTTACACATTCAGGTATTTGTCTTGGTTCCTCACTCCTTCTTGCAGGTGCAACTGTGGCTAAAGATTCATGTTTTCGGAAAAACCAGAGAGGCAGTGATTATGGCTACTGCAGAAAGGAAAACAGTAGAAAGATTCCATGTGAACCACAGTAAGCTTTCTAAATTATTTTCTGCAATGTTGATGATATAATATAAGGATAATAAGAAATATTTTATGGTCCACATCTGTGGGAATATGACTCTGTCGCCCGGCTAAAACAATAGAAATATGAGCCAATTTCTGAATGGCTGATTTTTCTTTGTTTTCCATCTGGGGTTACAAGATGGAGCAAAAGTGGGGTGTAAAGAGAATGCCGTGAGGATAGAAGGTTGTGTGAGAAAGGACAGATAGTCCTTGACTTATAACCTTTCGTTTAGCGACTTCAAAGAAGTGACTTACAACTGATTCTTCTGCTTCCAACTCTCACAGCCTCCTGTAGTCATGTGATCAACATTCAGGTTCCTGTATTTATGAGGGCTGCAGTGTCCCGAGGTCACATGATCACCATTTTCCATCTTCCCAGCCAGTTTCCAACAAGCAAAGTCAATGGGGGAGGTTGGATTTGCTCAACAACCATGTGATTCACTTAACAATTGTAGTGGTTCACCTAACAGCCATGGCAAAAAGGTCATAAAATTGGCAAGGGAAATTCTGGATACAGTTGTGGTTGTAAGTTGTAAGTTGTGGTTGTAAGTCAAGGACTACACTATTATCTGCCTTTCTTATTAGCTGACATCACCTAGCTTATTTAGCCTGCATATTACTGAATAAACCCTTCTTGGCTGAGATTATGAATAGCATTTAGTCATAAATCATGATTTAGAAATCATAATGGCTAAATTGGCTCCACATGTTGAACCCAAACTAAACAATAAGCCACATTATCTTTTAGGGGTGTGTGTAAATCCGGACTCTGCCTTTAACTCTTACGCAAACACACAGACCTTTGTGGCATTGTTTCCTGTTAAAGGAAGGGATGTTCTTATTTTATACATCCTTAGAATCTGGAAAAAACTAAATCTCCTAATTCTGCTTTAGGCGTTTTCCAGCTGGATAATAGATGCATTCCTTGCTCTTACGATGAGAATCCTGACTCAAACTATCTTCACCCCCAAAAGAAGGAAATCACAGTGAACTAGTTGGAGATACAAGAACTATGTTTCTCTATTTTGTTTTAAACCTTGAAACATCTTGTGGGATTTTTCATTTATGTGTTAAAAAAGGCAATCCAGTTCATATTGATGCTGAACAAACCTCTGGTTCTCCATCTCTAATTAAAACAAAAATGCATAAGGGATAACCCGAGATAAACTGATTGTCAGCAGAGTCACGTGCTCTGATCACCTCCTAGTTGGATTACTGCATAGGGCTACCCTTGAAGAGTATTTGGAAAGTGCAACTGGTACGGAACATAGTGGTGTTGATAGTTCTGGAGGGGTCTCACACGTGACACCGCTGTTATATGATGCACAGGTTGCCAGTTTGTTTCTGGGTCAATTCAAGGAGTTGGTCATTACCTTTAAAGCCCTTTATGACATAAGTCCAGGGAACTGGTGGAAGTGTTGGGATTAACCTGCTCCGGTCCTTTTAGTGGAAAAGGTCTAATTCTTATCCTGTCAACCAAAGATTTTTGGCTGGTGAGGTGCAGGAGAAAAGCCTATTCAGCTTTTCCCCCCTTGCAATGTTCTCCTGTCAGAGGTCTGCCCCCAGAGTTCAGGCCCCCAGGAACAACTTCAAGCATGGCTCTGCTGCTTGGCGGGGGACCCCAACACGGGCCTGCTACATTAGGGATGGCTGATGGAATAGTGAAGACTCTTATCCCCAAGCTGCCCATCATGTTTCTTAATTTTTACCTTTTATTCTAATTGTAATTGTTTGTGGCACTTTCTAACCTTTTATTATATCGTAAGTCACCCAAAAGTCATTCAATTAGTGAGATGGGGGACATGGGAAATGAATGAATGAATATTTGCAAATAAGTAAAGGAACAAACCTCATTCTTATTAATTAGTATGAATTGACTGCTTCCTTTTCAGAGATGTAAAATGTGGCAGGTTATACTGCTTCCGTAATTCACCCGGAAAGAAGAATACTTGCAGTGCCATATATACACCCAATGATGAAGATACTGGGATGGTTCTTCCTGGAACAAAATGTGCAGATGGAAGGGTTAGTAAAACATTACTTCTAATCTGTGTGCTCTAAAGTCTGATTCCACGAGGTGATCACTAAAATAATTTTGCAATCTATCAATGTGAAAGTTGGTCTAGATTTTCCACACTACAGTGAATCTAAGTAGAAGAAAAAGTGTCCATCTAGCCTTCTTTTGATTGTTGTTATTTTGTTTTTCCTTCAAAGAACAACCCCAACAAATGAGGTGAATGTCCAGGGCTGTTTCTTTCTTGCAAGAACAAAACCCCTGGCCTTCTCAGAGCCTTGTGCTTCTCTCTCGTAGCATCTTCTGGATGGACTGTCAAGAGACAGTCCTTTCTTTTATCTTGTAGGCATCTCCATAGGGAAGGTGGAAGAGAAAAATGAGAGAATCAGGGCAGAGTTGGTTGTGACCTAACAATGCAGCCACTTAGAAATGCTGAACCAAACCCAAACTTACCTTAAAGAATCAGGAATCACTTCCCCTTGACTTTTATACAATATAGAAGCTGAAAGAAGTTAGTTCAGAAAGTTCTGTCTTATTCCATTGATCATCTCTTGCTTTGACTTTCAGGCCTGCAGCAACGGACAGTGTGTTGATGTGAATAGAGTCTCCTAATCAACCACTGGCTTCTCTCAGATTTGATTCTGGAGATTCTTCTTTCAGAAGGTTTGGCTTCCCTCTTCTTCAAAGAGACCGATCTGCCTGCATCCTACTAGTAAATCACCCTTAGCTTTCATATGGAATCTAAATTCTGCAATATTTCTTCACCATATTTAATCTGTTTACATTTTACTGTAATCAAACCTTTTCCCCACCACAAAGCTCCATGGGCATGTACAACACCAAGGGCTTATTTGCTGTCAAGAAAAAAAATGGCCATTTTACCATGTTGCCAATTGCAGAGCACATTTAAGTTCTGCCTTTAGAGCTGGTGTATTCAAAGTCAATGCTTCCTCTCCCAAAATTTCATGCTGGCTTTCCAAGATGTAGCTGCTTCTATCAATAAACTATTCTCATTCTGCATTTTGAAAAGGCTCATCTTTGAAATATGGTTTGCTGGAGTAAACCGCATCAAGAACTTGCATGCAATCCTGAGGTAAACCATCAGGAGAATTATCTACTGGCATTAAAGGAACTTATTGACAGCCATCCAGAAAATTTAAAAGATAGCATTTTGTCTCAGAAGGCGCCCCTAACAATAAATAAATCCACATATTGCAACACAGTTCCAAAGGTGCTTTTCAAAAGGCAAAAGGACCTTCTTGGTTTTTTTCTTTAAAAAATTTACACGTCTTAGTTATGTGAAGAAATGAAGAAGCTTCTTGGATAAGAAGCAAAACATTTTCTTTTTTTAAAAAAGTATTTATTTTAATTTGTCAACAGGAATAAAATAAAGACAGGGAAACAGAAAAATTAACACCAACACTAAGAGTGAAGAAAAAGGAAAAATAAAGTGTTTTTTTAAATGGGTACAAAAAAAGGTGGGGGGACCTAAAGGTTGAATATATCCAACATCACAGGATTCAATCTGAGTCCGTCGTCAGGACCAGAAGTTTCGTCTTCCAAGCTTCCAAGCTTCTCATGCTTCTCATGCTTCTCATGCTGGAGCCCATCCTCAGAGCCCATCTCTGTGTCCAGCATGAGTCCGAAAGGTCAGGAAACAAAAACTGGTCCTGGTGACTGAACCAGATTGGATCCTGCAACATTATCCTGGGGAATGTATGTTCTCCTTCATTCATGTCTGACATGGAACAAAAAGAGCTCACCCCGGCTGGATGCTGAAACATTGAAAAAAATGATAGGTTCTCCTTCTCTTACGTAACGGGTCTACAAATAGTTATAACCTTTCCCATCCTTATTTGACAAAACTACTATATTAAACAAACAAATATTCCAGATGAGAGAATCCATCTATTATTGTATTCAACAGGTAGAAAGTCTATCAACGGCTTCCAGTCTCTTATAAACCTGTCTAGTCCATTGTCTGATCAAAGCAGTTGGTTTTGTGGGAAAGACCTTGGGAGACTGGGCAAAGAGAGGGAGCAGTCACACAAGAGACAAGATGGCCCCATAGCTGCATAATAGGTGGAGCAAGAGACTTATCAGGGATCCTCCCAAGTTTCTGTGAAGGAAACAGTGGGAGATTTCTCCTTTCAGAGACTAGAGGAGTTGGTTTTCCAGACTCTCATCCCTCCGTTTCTACTCCTATTCTGCAGTGGAAAAAGCTCCTCAAATAGACCACTAAAAATTGCTCACTTGAGCCCTGGTGCTCCTCGTACGGAAGTACTCAATTCAAAAATATCTATTTGTATTTGTGAAAACCCATTTAACCACTCTGATGGAACAGCTTACCTCCTGGAGTTGTAGGTACTCTATCTGAGCAGATCGGTCAGAAAGAGTAACTCACTTGGTCAGTTAAAGCTACCACCTGCAACATTTAATAACAAAATGCTTTTTAGAAGCACATTGTCATGATTCCGACAGATGAAACTCTTCAAAGAACTTCGAGGCATTGTTTACCTTAAAGAATCTTTATTCGAGTAGCATAGCATCGGCACGTACATAGGCAAAGCCAAAATCTGAATTCCCCTCCCCTGAGCACATAGTATCAAAGCACAATTCCCTCCTCTAATTAATAGTCATAAATAACATTCTCCAATTAGTTTGAAATGCAGTCTTTCCCTCCAGTTCTTCAACCCATTTCTTATCATCTTTTATTTCAAAAAAACTTGGTTCTCACACTAGATACACTATTGTTATGTCTAACTAAACTCTCATGCACATTCCTCGCCCCCAGTATCATCTAATTCTAACTCTAATTCTAAGAGTAAAACATAAGAAGGAAAATGGCTGTATCTCCATATGTTGTCAAAGCAAGAACATCCAATGTTAGCAGTGTGGACACACATATTCCATGTCTTGATAGCATTTGCCTTCCTTTC